ATGGAGGTGTCCCTGTGTGTGTGTCCCCTCGTGTCCCAGCGGCCGTGCAAATCGTGGTGTCCCCATAGATGTCCCCCCAAACCTGTGTCCCCTTTGCACGCCCTCGTGCAAATCGTGCTGCCCCCATCTGCGTGCCCCGATGTCCCCGTGTCCGTGTGTCCCCACGTGTGTCCCCGTGTCCTTGCGGCCGTGCAAACCGTGCTGTCCCCACGCACGTCCCCGTGCGCCCGTGTCCCCGTGCACGCCCTCGTGCAAACTGCAGTCTCACCGTCGGTGTCTCCGTGTGGCTCTGTGCCCCCACGTGTGACCCTGTGTCCTTGCGGCCGTGCAAATCCGTGTCCCCGTGGGCCCCTGTCCCCGTGCACACCCGCGTGCAAATCACAGCGTCCCCGTAGCTGTCCCCACAAGTCCGCGTCCTCGTGCCCATCCTCGTGCAAATCAGTGCCCCCATCGATGTCCTCATATGTGCACGTCCTCGTGCAAATGGCGGCGTCCCCAACCCCATAGGGGACCCCGGGGCCCTATAGGTGTCCCCATACGCGTCCCAGTGTCCCCATAGGGGACCTTATGGCCCTGTCCCCATAGGGGACCCTGTAGGTGTCCCCATATACATCCCAATGTCCCTATAGAGGATATTATGGCCCTGTCCCCATACTCATCACAGTGTCCCCATAGGGGACCCCATATCCCCGCAGATGTCCCCATAGGGGACCCTGTGTCCCTGTCCCCCTAAGTGTCCCTATAGGTGTCCCCATACACAACACAGTGTCCCCATAGGGGACCCCGTGTCCCTATAGATGTCCCCCATAGGGGACCCCACATCCCTATAGCTGTCCCCATACGCATCTCCATGTCCCTATAGAGGACCTTATGGCCCTGTCCCCATAGGGGACCCCGTGTCCCTGTCCCCATAGGTGTCCCTATAGACATCACAGTGTCCCCATAAGGGACCTGATGTCCATATCCCCATAGATGTCCCCATAGGGGACCCCATATCCCTGTCACCCTATAGGTGTCCCTATAGACATCAGTGTCCCCATAAGGGACCCGATGTCCCCATAGGGGGCCTCATGTCCCTATAGATGTCCCCATATGTGTCCCTATAGATGTCCCCATAGGGGACCCTGCGTCCCCATAGACGTCCCCATAGACGTCAGTGTCCCAATAAGGGACCTCGTGTCCTTGTCCCCATAGGTGTCCCTATAGACGTCCCCCATCGGGGACCCCACATCCCTATAGCTGTCCCCAGAGGTGTCCCTGTGTCCCTATAGATGTCCCCATAGGGAACCCGGTGTCCTTGTCCCTGTGTCCCTATAGGTGACCCTATGGGTGACCCTATAGGTGTCCCCATACACATCCCAGTGTCCCTATATGTGTCCCCACCCCATATGTGTCCCTATATGTGTCCCCACCCCTATATGTGCCCCCATAGTGTCCCTATAGGGGTCCCCCGTAGTGTCCCCATAATGTCCCCTATAGTGCACCCCCATAATGCCCCCATATGGGGGTCCCCCATAGTGCCCCCCCCCAGTGTCCCCATAAGCAGCCTCCCATACTGCCCCCC